CCAGAGTGAAGTTCTAGCAAAGTAATAGCAGAGATTCATTTCTGTCTCAGTGTCCCAGGCATTGGGTGGGAGATTTGACACATTTTATCTGTATTCGCACACTGTGCACCATTATACCTGTTTCCTACCTATTAAAGAAGACCGAGGTTCATTGATGATGAAACACTAACACCTCAGTTATTCCACGTCTTGAAAATTACTTCTTGTCTCTATGTGCATCCTCCAAGCCAGCAATTCCACATTGCTTGTGATTTCCCGCACACTTTGTGCCTCTCCACATCTCTGTGCCATTTTTTAGTGATGTTTTTTGCTTGCCCTGATCTTTCTTTCGTTTCGCTGAGAACCTACTTGACTTACCACACTCTGCTTATGCATCATCTCCTTGAATAACAGCTCCAGAACTTTCCAAGTAGAGCTGACCACACTCTCTTTTTATCTGTCCCAAATATACACTAGAAACTTTTGTTGCAGCTTTGACTTACCACACTTACTGTTCAACTGTCTTTTTCCAACTGCATGCACTTCTCTTACACGCAATGTCCTTTGTCTGGGTGAGCTCATTCTTGCATGACTGTCAGTAAGTGATGAGTCCCTGATCAGTACTGTAGCTCAGTGGCCTATGGTCAGTTTCACTCCGTATCCTTGTCTCTAACTGTTTCCTGGGCCTCTGTACCAGACTGGCTCAAACTGGATTAGTCATTTTCTTTCTCTATATTGTTTTTCCCTAGATGTCCAGGAAATAAAACACCAACGGCTTCTGTTCAAGCCAGAAAGCTTGGAGTTGCCAACTTTTCCCTAGCTCTAGCTTCATATCCAGTCTGTCTTTAGCCTGTCGAAGCCTATCCTGTGTATTGTGCTTTCTCTGCTCCAACAGCCAGCTCAGGTCACTGTCTCCTGCCTCCTGCTCCAGCTTGCTACTTGTTTTTCTACTTCTGATCTTACCTCCGCTCTCCTCCTCACTCTCTCCAGAATGCCACTGTTAAGGAGCTGCTGGGATCGCCATAGTTCATCCCTTGTAATCTTTTGGTACATTGTCATCACCATAGTGTGCAAACTCATACTGGTTACTGAACCCATCATGCTTTTTTCTTTAGCTTCATCTTTTTCTACTTCCCTCTCTCTTATAGTGTCTTTTGGCCTCTCACTACTCGAAGTTCATACAAAATGGAACTGTACATGTTGATTCCTCTCAGACAAGTCCAAAGCTCAGAGGATCTCTAGTTTGCAGTGTTTTCCCCACCTTCATAATATACCTCTTCTAATTTTGCACATTGGGCATAAAACACCTGGAAGGCAGGATCTATGAATCACTGTTACTGCATGGCTAGGGGACTGTATGGAGAAGGTGAAGCATAGATGTTTGTCAAACGAAAAAATGGGCTCCTTGTCTTGAAGGTGTTAACCATGGGAACTTTTAACTGGACATATACATATATATATATATATATATATATACACAATGCACATATGTATTATACATACATGTGTATATAGGTGTTATATACATGTATATATCAAACATATATATATACATATATGTATATATACACATATATAAGCATATATACATATATGTTTTATGTATATATATGTAAAATCAGTGAAAAATATTGTAAATCATAGTAATAGCCAGTTTTGATCATATCAGGTGCTACATAGCATGGAAAAAGCAAATTCCTGAAACCCTTCAAATACTCTTTCTTATTCCTTTAAAGACACATTTAAGCTCAGCCATGCTTCCTTTCTGAATTCCAGTAGCATCAACCCTTCCCAGAACTGATGAAAAGTCTAAATAACTTTGAAGTAGGCAATAAATTCCCTTTTGCATAATCTTTGAATAATGCAAAATGTTCCTTTATTGTTATTTTTTTCAAGAAATGTGTTACTGATCACTGCATCATTTTGAATTGTTTGCTTTAATTTTTTCCTTAAACTTTCTCCTAAAATGTTAAAAAAATTTTTAATTAGTATGTGTTTGCAATACGTAATGATTGCATTCATCATGGGGAGTTGGTATATGCTCACAGCATATCATTTCTTTTTTCTATTTATTTTTCTTTCTTCCTGGACAAGTTACACATAGGGTTGGAAGACTTTAATGTTTAGTGGCATTTGGAGATAAGCTAACAAATGGAAAAAGAAAGAAATAAAAATATTTCTTCCCTGTTGTGCAGTATTTTTTTTAAATGGTCATAAGAAGATTTTTAGGCTGGACTTTAAAAAAATGTGTTGACTTAAGCAGAACTTTGAAAAACTAAGCACCATAAGAAAAATCACAAAATAATGTGCATACCGTGACCCTATTTTTGTGGAATAAGAATGATACAGTTAACATGTCTTTAAAAACAATGAAAGGAATTTTCACGTGGCTATCAAAAGATTTTTTTCTGGAGGGCAGGATTAGAGGAGTTTCTACTTTTAGCATTACTTATTTTGGGTTTTTCTCTGCAAAAAATGTGCAGAAAACTTTAGAAAATTTTATTTATAGCATTATCCTTGGGGTTATTTTGCTTCTCTTCATCTGCAGAGTGTAAGTGCTGCTACAACAATCAATAATTTGCCCAATCACTGCAACTGCCATTATCCTGCTTCCTCACAACCTACGGGACAATGTTTTCTAGCTTGATCCCTTCTCTAAGCAAATGTTATCAATTTATAAAAAAGGTACGTGTACCAGCCTCAGAATGGAGCCTTGTCTATTATGGAGTTTTTGTTTCAGTATTTGGGGATGTATAATTCTTTAATAATATAGATTATATTATAAAAGTCTTAGGTCTTTATCATTCAGTGAATAGGTTTTTCTAAAAAACTAGAGTTTGTCAAGTACTTACAGAAGCAATTTTTAAGTTTTGAGGCTATTTCAACAATATGTGGATCTCTGGGAGGGGCTGGAGTGGCAAAGATGTTTGTGTCATTGTGATACAGGATATATTTTAAGTCAGTGAGGGGCTCATATCCCAAGCCATGCAAGAGTCTCTCCCTGACACCCACAACATCCCAGCCATCTTTTAAAAACTCTGACCACTTTCTGTACTCAAGGGGTGAAATCCAAACTTCTGGACATAGTCTAGGGGACCTTCCTATATGGCTTCTATTTATCTTTCCAATCTTATTTCACCTATTCACTAATGTATCTTTTGATTTCTGTACCAATCCAGTCATCAAGTACTTACTGAGTTCTTACTATGTACCAAATACTATTTTGAGACTCAAAGAAATACAATAGTAAATAAAGTAGAGAAATTTCTAGGGAGCTTATATTCCAGTGGTCTCAGAGAGGGGATAAACAAATGAGTAAACAGTAAAGATACAACGAACTAGATTGTATCAAGTGGTCACGATGGACATTACCACTGACGGTAATGTAAGGACAGATACTACGAAGAGGATGAGGGACATTATGGCAATAAAGTATGAATGGCAGCCATTAAAATGTACACGAGTCTTTGATTTTCCCTCCTCTGAAAGATTAAGCCTAATACCACAGTAACTATCCTTAATTTCCTATTAACTTAAACTGAAGCCCTGTATTACTTACATTGTCTTACTATGACGGATCTTATTTGAAGCTGGTTTGTTAGACCGCTGTTTTGCCTTGACTGATTTTATTCGAATTTGGTATGCTTGATAGTATCAAGTCTAAAAGTAGAGGCAACTACTCTGAAGATGACAAGATATAATAAAATACCCATTGTGGTTTGATTATTAACTGATTTTGAAGTCCTACAATGTCTCCAAAGTTGTGTTTTTATTAAAATAGCTATGTAATGCTATGTTCCATTATATTAAGCCTGATGATGTGGACAATTATGTTGAAAATAACAAGAGAAAGCATAGTAACTACTGTAGATCTCCTAATATTGTGGTTTTATATGTCTTTTTCATTTCATGTTTTTTCTAGGAATTTTTTTTGTTGCCTTGTTATGATCTGTTTTTCCCTATAATACAGAAAGGATAGATATAAATGTAGAGATTCACACATGGGGAGAATTTCTAAACTGTTTACGGGAACAGATTATACAATGCATGATGTAATGAACAGATACTCTGAAGAAGAAGAGATACTAAGAAACCCAGTGCTACTTCTGTAGCATTATGATATAAAATCTAACAACACTATTATTCACTGTTCAGAGTGATATCAGTCCAGTCTCTTATGTTCAATTTCAGCATATGTAAAGATAAGGACAGATACTACGAAGAGAATGAGGGACATTATGGCAGTCACTATTGACCTCCCCAATGTCAGGTCTTGAAGATCTAAAAAAGCCTTCATCATCCTGTTATGATTTGATTAGTTCTATAATGTTCAGTATGTATTCAATGTGTGTGAAGATGAGGAACAACTATTTGGAAGAAAACTAGAGGCAATAAGATAGATAGTGAAGATCTCCAGTGGACTTGCTTTGAAATCTGTGTTTCTTTAAATTATTTCATTATGACCTGTTTTGTTCTGTTTAATCTTAACCTCTTTAAAATAAAAAAAGAAAAAGATGAAGCCTAATTCCTCTCTGCTCCATGTGAAGGCAGGTGACTGATTTCAAATGAATACGATAAGTCAGGAGTGATGATGTATGACAGTGGTGGCAAACCCATGTGTCATTTTTTTTTTAAGACAAAAGAAGTTAAGGTATGAATGTTTTTTCTAAACTAAAACATCACTATTCAGGTTTAGCTGCAGTGTTGGCACTTTGGAGTAAGGAAGTGGGTTTTGGGTTGCAGTAGTAGGGACACTATCCCTGGTGTATGACTGTGGGGTCTAGGTCCAAAAAAGCATCATGAACCAGGAGTGGTGGCATATGCCTGTAATCCTAGCACTTAGGAAGCTGAGGCAGGAGGATTGTTGTGAGTTTAAGAATAGCCAGAGTTAAAAAGTGTGCTCAGGGCCAACCTGAACTGCAGACTCTCTCAACAAAACAAAACAAAACAAAACAAAACAAAACAAAACAAAACAAAACAAATCAAAGCAAAATGCATCATGAATTTCTTCTCTCTCTTAGATCTCACACTCTGGGAGATGCCAGCTGCCATGGTGCGAAGAGCCCTATAAAGAGAGTGACACCTGAGTCCCGGCTCCAGTCAAGCCTTTAGATGTCTACAGCTCTGGGCAGCATCTCCAGTACAACATCACAAGTGACCCAGAGACAGACACCTTCTAAAATCTATGAGGTGATACGTGTTTGCTGTTTTTAGCTGCTAAGTTTTGGTACAGTGTGTGGTACAGCCAGAGATAAATAACACAAAAGGAAAAAGGAGCAGATGAGGGGCTGATTAGGGAAAGCCCAGCCGAGAAGGAACCTAGGATCCAACTCTAGCACAGAGCAGGGAGGGAGCGAGGTGTGCCTGTGGGACCGCACTGCGCTCACTGTGCCCATCTCAGCCGCCTCTCGACGCCTGGCCTTGCCACGTGATCATTCTACCATCACTCACACCTCCGAGCCTTGCATGCTACCTGGCCTGACTTCCACTGCTGACCAGCTCCTCGTTTACCCACCTGCACTTACTGAGGTGTCGCCTCTTTAAGAAATGACCCACATCTGCCTAGGCTGAGGTAAATACATCTGTGCTCCCTAGTTCCTTGTGTTCCTCGTGACACTTTGCACAATGTATGATGGTGGCCTCTAGTTTTTTTTTTTTGTCCTTGGATGGATTGTACGTCAGTGAGAACAGGACCATATTTATCATAGCTGTAACCATCAGATCCAACAGAGCAATTGACAGCTGATAGGAACTCAGTGAACATCTGTCAAGGCATGAAATTCCTCTATCCCATCACCAAATGGCAGCTCATGTATCATGTAAGTTCCTGTTTGCTCATTTCTAAAATACCTTGCTTGGAGAATTATGATGAGAGTCTCCTAGCAGTGTATGCTCCACAGAAGCAACAGGAGAGCTTGTTTCTTCATAAGATGATTCCTTCCTTTCCATTGTTGGGCAGGCCAGAGTTTATTTTTATTTTTTTGCTATGCTGGAGATTCAAACCATGGTCTTGTACATGGTACGCAAGCACTTACCACGGAATGAGCCACATCCCTACCCAGCCTGTTCTTATTTTCAAACAGTCTCACGAAGTTGCCCCGGCTGGCTTCAAAAGTGTTATCTTCCTGCTTCAGCCTCCCGAGTAACTAGAATTATAGAAATGCACCACCCTATCTGATTTGTTGGATAGTTCTATTTAGGAGAAAATTCTGGTCAGGGAACTGGTAAAACTGGGGATAAAGACTTCTCTGGGTAATGTTATAATTTACATTGTTTCTACTCTCTGCCAAATTGGGACTCGCCAGTTTCCAATGATTTAAGTTTATTCTCATAGGGTTCGGGCCTTGTATGTCCAGAGGGCAGCTGTGTTTTAGGCTGAGTCTTTGCCAGCCTAGAAGATTATTATTTCAAAGCTTAACTGAAGATCGACTGAAATGTTATTATGTTATTATTTACTACTTCTCAGAGCAGAAACTGTGAATGAGTAATGACCACTGTTGAGCTTATCTGGGACCCTGAGGGGCAAATTCCTTTCACTTATAAAAAACAACAAGAACAAAAAAAAGAAAGAGAGCAAGATTTCTAAAAAAAAAAAAAAGAATTTTTAAAATAAGAACTTAGCTTACATACATGTATGTCACCTTGTTTGGAATCTGTCGCAGTTGATGTTAATATTGTTACTTTAATTCTCCTTAGCTGCTGCTTCTCTAGGTTTGCTTCAATTATAAAATGATTACATTGTGATTCTTTCCTCCTATATAATGAGGATTAGCACAGGTCTATGCACAAAGTAGTTACTCCTCAGAAGTCCTTCTGAGAGACTGACCTGTGGACAAGAGTGGCTTTTGTAAATTCACCAAGAGGGCCTTTGCAGATAAATCAGGATTTCTGCAAGAATTTCCATTTAGAACTCCAGGACATTTAATTTCCCCAGATGAGATCGTATGAGATTGGGCATATTCAGGGTGGTATGGCTGAAATAGGACTTCAAATGTTTTACAAGTTCAGGCTCTTGTCAGTTTGTGGTTTAATCAATTCATGAAATCTCTCTACAACATAGAATAAATAGCAAATGTAAACATCTAGGAAGGTGGATTATCTCACAAGATTAAGACAGGGTTTTGGTTCTATCTGTGGGTAAAAAGAAATAAGAGAAGGAAGCACTTGTGGTAAAGTGATGCTAGCTTCCACTTCTTTTCCCCAGTCCTCCTCGGTTCAAAGTCATTGTCGAGAACATGAAACCACCAGAGCAATGCAGGGGAATCCCATAGGTGAACAGGACATCAGAACATATTCTCACAGCAGTCCCTAGAAGAGGTTTGTGGAACATCCTGGGGATGTTAGTGGCTACCAGGTAGTCAGGATATAGTAAGGTCCCTGAAAACAACCTGATACCAGACAAAGCAAAAATCCACTCTTAGATCTTATATAAAAATGTCAAAACTACCTTCTACTTTTTCTCAGTGGTAACACATGAAATTAACCACAAATAGTTCCAAAGAGGTCAAAGAAGTTTAAAGTTATGAGAAAGTCAGAGCCTTAAGGGTGGGCTTAGTCTAACATGAAGTGTGAGCGATAGAAAGTTGATGAGAAACACTCATTCTAAATCTTCACAACTTTGTCAGTTTGTTGAGATTTTCCATTATCTATTACTTGGAGCTAAGATGCTAAAGAATTTTGTAAATAACTTACTTGCTTTTAAGGTTTGTTAATTAGTAATGCCTAGGAATAGATTAGTTGGCTACTATACTCTCAGTTACTTAGTGCTGCCTTACGTAGTAGCAACATGGACCAGGTGAATTTTTGGTGACATTGAGGGTGCAGGAGGTAGAGTCCAGAACCTGGGCTGCCTCCTCTGTGGTTGGGTCTTCACTGCAGACACACTGCAAATCTCAGTAGGCCTGCTGTTAACATAAGGGCATCAAGGCTGGTAGAACAGATCAGGGCTGGTGAAGAAGCCATGTGTGGTTGTCACTGTGGTTTGCACCTACAGTGCCCTCAGGAAGGGCACTTGCAGTTGATGAGGAGAGAGCAGGCTCATGGTGAACATGAATTGTTCTGGGTGCAGACACGCCTGTTTGTGGTGTGCAGAGCTGGAGAACTCAACTCTCTTGAGACACAGATCCCTCATCCTTCCAGACCCAGGAATGAGTCTCCCAAGTCTGATCCTAGCTCAGATGATAAGGTGTAGGTGCTGTCTTTGCCATATGCATGGGCTTAATCCTCCACCAAACAGAGAGCACTGGTTTGCTCCTCTTGTACCCTTGGGGGGAGAGAGAAAAAATGAAGTATTTAAATTCAGATTGACATGTACTATGAGAGGGGCAAATGCAAAGCACTGTAAAGCTTAGTTAGGAAGTGAAAACTTAGAGTCCAGAAGAGTCATCTTTAGTGACTGAATCTGCCCCTTTATTAAACTTAAGTAGTCCTGTAAGTGGAGACGCATTTAGCTTAAACCTTCATTCGGAGATGACATGGCGAATGAAGAAAGCTCTTCAGTTAGTTCTGGACTTGCAATAGTGTGGCACGAAGAGGATTATTTCACTTTTCAGAGACTCATGTTATCTGTAGAACTCAAATAATGTAATGTTGCAGGTTAGTGTAAAGATCAAATAAAATAAAATCTAGGTGAGTGGAGTAAAATTGTGGATGGTAGTAGTTTATGATGTACCACAATATGAATATAAACAGACAGGGCAGAAGGTGGCAATTGTGAGTGAAAGAGCGTAGAAATGGAGAGACGAAGGTCCCCGAAGCCCTCGGACTGTATTATCCCACAGTTTTGCTTAGGGCAGTTCTAATTGAAGATAATAGTTATTTAGAAATGCAGATAATTGCCCCTGGTGTAAATAGGAAAAGGAAAGCAAGATTAGAAATTATGTGGCATAGTCACTGTCATCTTCACAGATAAACCACCTCCTTTGCTTCCAATAGAATCTATATCTACATCTGTCTGGAGGCTCTGAAGCAGTTCCACGGGAAGCTGGATGGAAGCTGTGGTCGCTACTGTCTGAGAACAGCCTGAGAATTTCTAAGTGATGAGAAGAAAAAACCAGACCTGGAGAACTAGATGATGCCAGTGTTGGAGAAGTCTGCCTGAATATGAAGGAATCTGAAAATAATTATTCTGGGGGAGGGGTGGTACTTACTCAAAAGACCAAAAATGTCAGGTCAAAGATTTTCCTTAAGTAGGAACATTCCAGTCCCTTCTTGATGTTTTTGGATCAAGTCCTACGATGAGGTGAAATTCTGCATAAATCACCTTCCCATGTGCTGCTTCCCCTGCATGTTTCTCCCAGTCCTGTGAGGGTGGGGTGGGGCAAGGAGTCATTTGCCTCTTTATTGTCTGGATCTCTGATGAGAAATTGAAAAACCTTGGTTTTACTCAGTCTGGCTTAGACTGTGCCAAGACTTAGTCAAAACAAGTAGTTGAAAGCAAAGAATCTTTGCCAACTAACTCTGACATTTGGCAGTTCTCCATCTTAGGTAGATAGCCCTCATCTGTGGGGCCACAGTTCACCACCCAACTGCCTTTTTCCTGTCTCCCAGGGTCCCAGCATTCTTGTTCCCATCCTTCACCCCTTCCCACAGTAGCTGAAAGAGGGAGGGATGTGGGGGTATCAGAGGACAGGACAGAATCCTTTGGACTGCTTTGAGCCACTCCTTCTGGGCTCAGGAATTGATAGAGAGAAGGAAATCAGTAAGCATTTAGGCTGTGGTAGCGTTTTGATGATTTTGTCTGAGGTCTTCACATTTGGCCTCAATTTCTCATAAAATCAGCAGTTTCTCTTCCATTTGTCTTTCTCCCCCAATGACTTTAGGTTTCTCAGGGACCTCCATAGACCATCTTTGCAGCATGGGTTGGTCAAATGTTTCCCAGATTTTCTGACCAATCACCATGGCTTCATGGCACTTCTTGGCAAGAATCACAAGTGTCTAAAACATCTTAAAGTAGCTGACATTAACTAACACAAATTTGTGGTACTTTATCTTACTCAATTGCCTGAATTAAAGTTTTGAAAAAATGTTTTATGTCACAGGCCTAAGTTGGAGTTAACTCTAATCTTAATTACTAATTGCTCAAGTGTTTCAGGGTATTGAGCAGTGTCAGCATGGCCTCTCACCCCATAATAGCAGGAATTACCTTGCCATGGTGTCATGAGCCGCCTGCAGCCCTTGCTGATACCAGCTTCACCCATTGGAATATTTTCAGTGTGGCACTATAATGAAAAAATGCTGTTATGAATATTTATAACTGTCTCTGGTAGACAAATTCATTTATGTGAAGAAATGAAATAGCTGAGTCAGAGAGCATCTATTCAGCTTTAGTAGATTTTGCAAAAATGGTTTTCTAGGGAAGTTGTAAAAATTTGTAGTTTTTCAAGCATTTTACGAGAATTCCATTTGATCTAAATGGTTGGCAACAATTGATATCATTTGTCCCTTTCATTTTAGTCATTCTGGTGACTATGACTAATTCATATGACTAATTAAATCGAAAATTTCTCATATGTTTATCAGAGATCCTCTTTTTCCAGGTACATATTTAAGCTTTGGTCCATTTCCCCTTCCTATTTGGTATTCTTCTTACTGATTTACAAGAACTCTTTATATATGCTGGGTATGAGAACTTTATCAGATACATTAAAATATTTTTCTGGGATTATTTTTAACAACTGATTTGTAATGGTTGAAAAAATAGAAAGTATTAGTATATACTTACTGATCAGAAGATAAACAGATCATAAATATATATTTGAAAGGAAGAAACAAAATAATCCATAGAGAATGAAGAGAAAGAGAACCCAAACTAAGATCTCATGTCAAGAACAAGATTTATTCATTTGTTCAACAATTTCGACTGTGCAAGATAAAATAATTACTACATTGTAGAGTCTCTGCTTCTTAACACTTTAGTAGTTTATCACTACATTTATACCCTTTTCTTGGTTGTTTCGTATACTGCCCATGAAGAAGCTTTGGTTAACATTTTAAATTTCTTAAACATTTATCATGTTTCAGTCATTTGCTTGGCACTTCATAAAGATAGTTAGCAATTCCATGAAGTAGGTAGTATTATCCTCTTTTTATGGAACATTTAGGTAACTTAGCTAAGGCTATCCACTTACTACGAGGCAGATCAAAGATTCAGATCTAAGCAGATTTATGAGGAATGTCATGCTCTTAGTGGCTGCTTCTGGAGCTCCAAACATGGGACCTCAAGTTGACCATGGTTCTTCCTTTTTTCCTTTAAATCAAATTCCAGCATCAAAAAATGCATGGGTCAAAGTGATCTTAATAAATTGATTATAGATGATTAAAAAGGAAAGAGACATGGATTAATAGTATTGATTGTTGAGTTACAAGAACTGAACTCAAATTCTGTCTTTCTCTGTGGCTTTGAGTGAGTCACAAACAAATTTCATTCTTTCCAACTGTGAAAAAGGGAAAGGAAAACATTACATGCCATTTATACATTAGAGACAAGAGGAGATAATGGGATTTTTAAAATGTATTCATTTGCTACTTTAAGAGACAAGTTATTAAATCCCTACTGATTGCTAGGCAGTCTGTGAAGAACTTAATGAATGAAGTTGTCAAGAGCTACTTATTCAGTAACTGTTCATTCATCTGTGCTTATAACTAAACTGTCCAGGTATAATGTTTTGAGGGCTCCAATAGTCTAAGAACTATGCAAGGCAGGCAAAGCCTATGTCTTAAGGAACTGACGTTAGACTAAATGAATGAATGAATGAATGAATGAATGCATAAATTATACTGTCTCATTCCTCTTATCTACTATCCTGAATATTGCTCTTTGTCTCTGTCTGGTTTCTTGGCAAACTTTACCCAAGACACTTTCTTTCAGACCTGTGCATACATAAGCCATGCACTTTCATAAATGAATCTACTTGTCTGTAATTGTATTATTTATTGTAATGCCTCCCTTTTACAGTCAGTGAAGTATATTAAGTACTATTTCAAGCTAGTTCTCACAGTTAATTCCCAACCACACTCATTCCAGTACATGTGTTTTCTCTAAAAGAATGCTAATCAAATACGCATGGAACAGCATTCATCTAAAAATCTAAAAGCTGAAATGCTCTAAACTATGAAACTTTTGGAATGCCAACATGATATAAGTGGAAATTCCACCTGGCCTCATGTGATAGATTATATTGGAGGCATAGATGGACAAAAATATTGTATAAAATTATCTTCAGACCATGTATATAAAGCATAAACCAGTTTTATGTTTAGATATCCTATTAGGTATTGACAAATATTCAAAAATAAGAAAAATATCTGAAGTTAAAAACAAAAAAAGGGATATTTGCAGTATAAGTGCAGTTTAAATTCCAGTCCTTTAATTAGTGTTTACATTTAGGTAGTTTGAATGTTTTCTCCTTAATCTTAAAAGCCTTCTGGTTAACACTAAGACTGGTAAAACACAACAAACACTGTTAGCTACTGTGTGTGTGTTTTAAAAAAATAATGAAATGAAAGTTCAAGGAACCCTTCTTGGTAAAATATTTCTAACAGTAATAAAATATGTATTGTGTACAATGAAATATTATTAGTTTGGTTTATTGTGAAAATTTGGAACTAACAACAGAACTAGCAGAATTGTACTTATTTTAAAGCCTACCTTTCAGGCTTGCACCTTTCGCCCAAAGACAGCTGGTTTACAAATTTTTGGTACTTTATCTTATTTATAGCACGTACACACAGCCTATGAATTAGGACAGTGACAAAGAAAAGTGAAAAAGAGCCTTTTCTGACGATTGACATCTGTGATATGTTGAAACCAAATGGTCTCAGAATTGGGACAATGTTTGATTATTCTTAGTTTTAAAAGTTCAACAAGGTCATAAGAATATAGGAAATATTTAGTGTCCTCCAATTTTCCCATCAAAGGCTGAAAGATCCTTTAAAAGTACACTAGAGCAAAAAGAGCTTTAAATGTGGTTTTTAATTTAGTATTCTATTTTATCGAGACAGGGTCTCTATAGTTCAGGCTGACCTTGAGCTGACTGTGTAGCCCAGGCAGGTTTGGAACTGATAGCGATCCTTTAGTATCAGCCTTCCTAGTGCTGGGATTACAGATGTGTACCACTAAGGGTAGCTGAATATGACTTTAAAAAGTGATGTTTAAAATAATACGTAATCTGCAAAATAAGTGGAAAAATTTTCACAGTCTGAAAACTGGTTAGAAGCCTGAGGTAAAATATTCATTGATACTAATGACCTATGCCTTTGAGTCTCTGGCACCTCAAGCAAATATGAGGTATGATTTGTTACTTTTATTTATTAGCAAAATAGTTAATGAAGAAAGAGACAGGGAAAAACCGATGGACTTGTAAGATGCTGGTAAAGGGCAAATGTCAGGAAACCTGTACCAAATTCTGTTTGTGCCAGAGTAGTAGGAAATTTGCATAAGCATAACTTTCTTCACCTTTTAGACTGATCTCTACCCCACATTCTTAGAGCACAAAATAGACTCATTTACACTATGAGACATTTCCGTGGGTAGAGTTTCTCTTTCAAGGTAAGGTGAGTACTGCTTGGCAAGATCAGTTCTCAGGCAGAAGGGAAGAGTGACCATAGTTGACAAGTGTCTTTGTGGGCAGGGTGTGGTAGAGGGAGCAGGACATGGGAGAGACTTGCTCTGAGTTCCATCAGGATCAGTTTAGAGCAGAATTGAGAAATAAATAAAGTATATGTTTGGAAACCTGACCTCTGAGTTTTTTCCCTTTCTTTCTTTCTTTCTTTCTTTCTTTCTTTCTTTCTTTCTTTCTTTCTTTCTTTCTTTCTTTCTTTCTTTCTTTCTTTTTGCTGGTACCTCTCCTCCTTACCACTGAGCTGGAAAAGAAACAGTTCTCTCTCTGGGTATTAGAAAACAGAAGTCTCTTCCTCAAGCCATTTGGGTATCATTCACACCAAGCTGAGAGTGACTACCCACAGCTCAACATCTTGTTTTCCTTACAAAGTAACAAGGAATTAAACTGAATTTCCAAGACCTCAGGGAGAGCATTTTGAAACACATTTATCTCCTTTTTCTTAATAAAAATTTAAAGAATTAGGTCAAAAACTCAAAGACAAAAGCAAATAAACCAATGGAACAAAACAGAGAATTCAAAGACAGTAATATTTATATGAGAGAAGTTCCCATGTGATGCAAGACTCATCCTCTCAGACTCTATTGGGACTACTGACTCGCCATTTGAAGAAATGCAAAATTATAGGTCTAGGTTCTGCACATATATTAAAAATTAATTATCGGGTTGAGAAGTATGAAGAATATAAATCTTGTTACCTGCGATACAAAAACAAAGCATTCTCCTATAAAATTTTGTATTTTAAAGAATGCATTCCAGTTGTGAGTTTCCAAGCATCAGGCAATGATTTTAGGGAATGAATTAGGTGCTAGAAATTATTAGTGAAGGAGACAGCAAAAGGTTAGCTCTTGGTTGGTGATTTTTAATTGGACCAGTCAAGAAAAATTAATGGTGAAGTAGTAACAATTTAACCAACATGGGCATATTGGGAAGACAACTGGATATCAGGGGCCCTTAGCTGTTTTCAGGGGTCTTGAACCGAGCTATAGGTTCAAATGGAGGGAGAACTGTGCTGTGGGTTAAGAAATACGCCTTATAAAGCTGTCTTGATCAAAGTGTAGGTTTCTTGATTATTGTCTGAGTTCTGGTTGTGTGGGAGGTGGCTCTGGAGGTGTTTTCTGCTGTAATGTTTTGAAGGAGCAAGTGTGTTTCCACCATGAGATGATTGCTCCTGCTTCTGGGGAAGCCTCATCTCCCATCTTGAGGTCATTGTTGCCACTGGGATGGCAGGGGGAATCCCATTATGTGGTGATCTGTCTGCAAAGGTCTGTTTTTCCTGGAACAATTAGGGGAGTGAGTGGAGACTTCTAGGTGCCAACACTGCAGGATTCTGAAAGAGGATGATGTAAAAGCTGGCGTTGAATGTTCCTAGAAATCTAGAAAACATATTATTTATTTTTATTTTGGTGTCTTGAGTGTTGTAGGGGAATGAGACAGGTTATGTAAAGTTAGGGGTAATTTCAGTACAGGCCGCTCGTTTTTAGAAAGACATTCCTTAAGTGATGGATACGCCCATGTGCAGAGCTGGGCAGAAATGTAGCCAAAAGATAAGATAATAAAGGTGACAAACACAAAATTAAGGCAAAGATGCTAAGATTTGACTTCCTTTTAATAACTCACTATGCAAGTGCAGGTCCAAGTGAAGAATCAGCCAGTGCTTTTCAGCAAAAGCAGCCTCTGTGTGAAGATCAGCCTTAGGTGCAGTCTGGGAGTGTGGTGCTGGGGTGGTGCTTCATGAGGGCCAGCTATGGAGGAGACTTAAACATTCGCGAGGAAGCAGACCTGAATTTATTTAGCACACATGTCTCTGGAATCTCTTTTCACTGGAGTAGCAATACTTTATATTCTTGCCTAATAGTAAATATTTTTGAGACTGTTGCTATAACTATAGTAATTTACAGATAGCTCCAGAGATTTCGGTTAGTGAGATCCAGTCAAGTTCATGAAAACTTAAGATCTTGGATTCATTAACACATTCTGATTAATGGTTGCTCCACTGGGGAATATAATAGATCAGAGATATATTGCTGCTCTTAAGGAGTGTGTTGCAAATTTCTAGCAATTTATTTCTATTTCACAAGTATTTATTCACTAATGAGGTTAAGTAGGAGCAGGTCAAACCCTAGTTTGAGAAATAC